TTTTTTCTGGACACATGGTAACAATTCGATCAATTAACCGAAACAACTTGCAATTTACTTCGGTAAATACCAAAGTATTTTTTCTGGACACATGGTAAGAATTTGATTAATTAATTCTGAAACAACTTGCAATTTACTTCGGTAAATACCAAATTATTTTTTTCTGGACACATGGTAACAATTCGATCAATTAACCGAAACAACTTGCAATTTACTTCGGTTCGTACCAAACTATTTTTTCTGGACACATGGTAAGAATTTGATTAATTAACCAAGACAACTTGTAATTTAATTCAAGCAATCTTTAAAAGATTGTTCACCTAAAAAAGACATTTTCCTGTACATTTTATTTAGGAAATACAGGTCTATTTTGGTGAAAAACCTCTTCATGACGGGTTTTCAATGTGATAACACTTGATATATAGAGTGTTACACCATTGTGCATTAAAATTACTTGCCTTAGTCATGTACTAACCTATTTTATACAAACAATAATATCTTAAAATAATAATATTAAAAAAAGCAAGGTTTTGATATATAAATGGGAAAGTGTGAAATATTAATCATATAATGCAATGCATAAAAATGCATGGAAGTTGACTAAAGTGGAGGAAACTCAGTGAAGAAGAGGTTTTAAAGTAGTAACTGAAGTATAAAATAATAATAATGGACACATTTTTAACATCATGGTCTGCAATTGCAGATAAAAAATTAAATCTTGACTTTGGTCATCCGGACGACAAATCTCGTTCTGATTGGTGTCCTGTACTTCCCAGACGCGACTTAGATTTTCCCTTCTAGACAGCGCGCTTAGTCGATAAATAAATGTTGATAATAATAAAGATATAAGTCATTCTCAAACTTCAAATTTGCAAATATACAAACCTTATTGTTTCTCTGTTATGAAATTCTCTCCCGAAAATTATCCATTCACCAAAGTAAGGTCAATCATTTGTATTGTATTTCAAAACCGAGCGGATATAACGTTGAACTTTGCGCAGGGAGAACAGCAAGTTTTGGTGGGCATAAAACGAAGACCTAAGACCAAAGACCCAAAAACGAAGACCCCATTAAAAATCCTTGAAACGTTCGTGTTTTGATGTTAGTTATGTTCTGCGTGACATAACGCACTTTTGGAACGATTTTGAATTGATTTTGTCGGGGTCTTCGTTTTTTGGGTCTTAGGTCTTAAGTCTTCCTTTTATGCCACCCCAGCAAGTTGGATTACGGTGTTTAATCCCATATTATAAGCCCCTGTCGGCTGTTCCTTCCTAGACTCTACAATTAGCCCGCAAGTGTGGATGTGGCAGCCAGAAAGCATGGTCGGACAGATTGAGAAGGAAAAAACAAGAGATATTACATGGGAGCGCGGAGATACGGATTTTATCTTCAAGTGTTCCACTTGATATCTCGCGAGTGAACGTAGCGAACTCAATTTGTATGGGCAAGAAATAAGATCCAGTTTTGTACGGATTATCCATGGTAATGTGTTATTTTCACATGAAAAACATATCTTAAATAATAATAATAATAATAATAATAACATCTGTAGATGTTCAAGCTGCTAAGTTTAAAAGAGAATTCGATGTACCAGATATCGAAAAATTGGACAATGAAGGAGCTACCACCTATGCTCGAAGAACAAAACTTAAAGCTAAAAATCTGGCACTTGAACACTTAAAACATAAATGGGAAGAAAAACCTCTTCATGGTCAGTACCCAAAACGAATTAATGACAAAGATGTGGATCAAGCACAAACGTATGAATGGCTTAGAACATCTGGCCTTAAATCTGAAACAGAAGGGTTTATCATTGCTGCACAAGACCAGTGTATCAAGACCAACTACTATAGGAATAAGATCTTAAAAGATGGAACAGACCCAATGTGTAGGATATGTGGCAAAAACCAAGAGACTATAGACCATCTTGTTTCTGGCTGCTCAGAATTGGCCAAAACAGAGTATATTCATAGGCATAACAAAGCAGCAGCATACCTCCATTGGGCAATTTGTAAGCACTATAATATTGAGGTCAAAGATAAGTATTATGAACATGAACCATCAACTGTAGAAGACAATGAAGAAGCTACTATACTGTGGGATATGCCAATACAAACTGACAGGGAAATAAAGGCCAATAGACCCGATATAGTAGTGAAGAATAAGAAAGAGAAAACCTGCTTGCTTATTGATATGTCTATTCCAACTGAGAGAAACACCTCCGTAAAAACATCAGAAAAATTATCCAAATACAAAGATCTTGAAATAGAAATTCAAAGAATGTGGGGTATGAAGACCACAACAATACCTGTGGTAATAGGTGCTCTCGGTCTAATCAAGAAAGGGATGGAAAAATATGTCAAGCAGATCCCAGGTAACATCAGGGTACAGGAAATACAGAAGGTTGCTCTCCTTGGCACTGCTCATATAATAAGGAGGGCACTGTCAATCAAATAAACCATACACCCCCTCATAGATGCCCCAAGTCCAGGGCATTGGACTCGGCATCATGAGTGAATAGAGCAAAATAATTAAGAGATATAAAATAATAATAATAATAATAATAATAATAATAAT